TACTAGCGACCCGCCCTCGCTTCGCTTCGGAAACATTAAAACACACATGAAACCAAAAAAAATAAATAAAAAATAAATAAAAAAAAGTAGCCTATGTTCATCAGGGACAATGTCGGCTTCTAATGGAAAAAGAATTTTTCAAATCGGTCCAGTAGTTTCGGAGCCTATTCGAAACAAACAAACAAACAAATCTTTCCTCTTTATAATATTAGTATAGATAGATACATATTTGTACCAATACCGAAAAAAAAATTAAGCTCAGTCAATTCATGTTTGGAATACCAAAGTTAATTTATGGCAATAGCCATAAATTAACTTCTTTTAATTTTACGGTCACACCAACTGTCTCTATGACATTTTCTATGCATGAAGCTCAGGGCCTACCCACTGGTAGAATCTGGAAAATCAACATCCTGCCTGTTTGGTTCGGCCGTTGTACAATAAGATTTTGACTTCAACCTCGTGTCTACCTTTGGACCCTATGATCCTCTATGAGCTTCTGCTACAAAGAAACACTGTTTTGCCGGTTTGTATACAAGTACAATAATATCACCTTCCGTATTTTCTCGGCTTCGTCAGCATCGTCTCCCGTGCTTTCTATCGTCGTGTGGGGTATGTTTGTGCTTGTACCAGGAAACCTAGCAAATTGAGAAACAAAAGAAACAACCATTATCCTTTTTCCACCTGTTGGCGCCATATGCATGTATGTCACGCATCAGCTAATTTTTAAATCTAAAACGCTAAATTTCTTTTAGTTCTTTACTAGCGTATAAAATAATTGAAAAAAAAAGAAAATATCTAATTTCGAATGCACCATAGATAACAATAACCACACTTTCAAAATGGCAGAACCGATACCGATTGCATCATTAATGCAAGGGACAGTCAAGCCGTTGACTGCCCTACAGTTTGTATAGCCCACAACAATAATACAATCATGGCAGAGTGTGTTGTTAGCACGGGTCACCAGGAGGAAAGAACATTCATGCGTTTCTGCACAATGTTGGGGCAAATTGGTCGACATTTAAGAATCAGTTAAAAAGATAATCACGCATATAAAATACTAGATAAACCCGGTCACACTCGAGGAATTATTGATAAATTGTACGAATAACATCAATTTGTTGGTACTACCTTTCATAGGTTAGAGGTATTATGGCTTTTTTTTTTATTGCTTAGATGGGTGGACGAGCTCACAGCCCACCTGGTGTTAAGTGGTTACTGGAGCCCATAGACATCCACAACGTAAATGCGCCACCCACCTTGAGATATAAGTTCTAAGGTCTCAAGTAAGTTACAACGGCCTTCAAACCGAAACGCATTACTGCTTCACGGCAGAAATAGGCAGGGTGGTGGTACCCACCCGCGCGGACTCACAAGAGGTCCTACCACCAGTAAAGGTGGTAAAAGTAACTAAAACTTCCCACACAAAAAACCAACAAAAAATACTTGATTTAGTTTCTTTACAATTGAATGATTGGTTTAGGAATGCATAGAGGCCACACATACCAACATTGATTTTTATTCACATTGACCATAGATAAATATAAGGTTGTTTGGAATAAAATGCATTGTTTGACTTACGTTCCTTCTCGCACCCTCTGATCGTAGAATTCCTCGACTGTCATCGTAGGTATGGAGGGGTAACCAATACCGAACACAGCTTTTTGCACTGCATCTCTCGTTATTATCACTGGCTTCAACGGACGGGCTTTAGGCTTTTCTTTTGTTGATGGTACTGGAATTATGGATGGATTATGTTATGTTTGCTTTCATTTTCGTGATGGTAACGATCATGGCGACCATAAATTAATAAAGTCCATACACAAAAATACAAAAGTGAATTATATTCCATTTTCTCTGACAGTAATATGATAATAATTAATATGGTGATAGCTGAGGCTCACCTTGAAATGCCTTGAATGCTTGAGCCCACCATGCTAGCAATTTTTTTTTTATTACAAACAATATAGTCCTATTAACATAGTTTAAATAGCACCAATGTAAGATATTACTTACAGAGCAAAAAGCAAATGTGCATTACCATTTAAAATATTATATCAGTAATTTCCAATGCACTTGTGTCATTTATGGGCTCCAATAATTGCATTAGACACTGAACATGTTATTTTTTTAAAGATTAGATCGGTGTACGATCTCACAGCCCACCTGGTGTTAAGTGGTTACTGGAGCCCATAGACATCCACAACGTAAATGCGCCACCCACCTTGAGATATAAGTTCTAAGGTCTCACGTATAGTTACAACGGCTGCCCCACCCTTAAAACCGAAACGCATTCTGGCTTCACAGCAGAAATAGGGTGGTGGTACCGACCCGCGCGGACTCACAAGAGGTCCTACCACCAGTAATTACGCAAATTATAATTTTGCCGGTTTCATTTTTATTACACGATGCTATTCCTTCACAGTGGAAATTAATCGTGAACATTTGCTGAGTACGTATTTCATTATAAAAATTGGTACCCGCCTGAGATTCGAACACCGGTGCATCGCTCAACACGAATGCACCGGACGTCTTATCCGTTAGGTCACGACGACTTCAAATCTAATATATTATAATATAATATTGTACAATTGTAAATTATGCCTTTTCTCACAAAAAAAAATAACAATTTTACCTTCACCAGAACAACTAATCATTTCCAGTATAGGTTTCTCCCGTTCAATACTGCTAAGTTCATCCAAGACCTCATTGACGTAGCTATGTAACATCGTCAGAAAATACTCTCTTTTAACTTCGTCATCAACAATGGGTGATGACATAGCTTTTGACAATGTACCGAGTTTCTCTTTTAATTCTTTTGCTTCTTTGTATCGTTTTATTTTAGTTTCTCTACTTTGAACCTGAAATAAAAAATGACATTTACTTTACAAAGTAATTAAAGATAACACTTGCTGGTACATGACTCGTATGTACTGCTGTACTCATCAGTTTGATAATTACTATCAGGACAATCAGAATATTTTTTACATACTTTATTTATTATATATTCACACCTGCCTTCACTTGAAACAATATGATAACTAGATAACTTTACTGTGGATGTGATGATGGATTGTGGATAGATAGATCTACAAACTGGAATACATACACATAAGTACAATGCTTGCAAAGTTATTTACAATGTAGTTGAAGTTGGAATTTAATGATATCACCAACTAAAGAAAATATGCCAAAAATACTGAATTGTATTTACTACAATTTTAGGAAGTCTTGACAAGATCCCGATGACAATACAGATTTTTTAAAATAACCAACTTCGAACTAACTTGCTTAAAAATCTGACCTTTCATAAGTATAAAGGACAACAATATTACCATTGCAGTTATAATATCCTGCTGGCTCTGTGGTCTAGATGAGGAACTGTTGCTATCACTTAATTGTGGGATCTCCACGTCTGTGACCCCATAGTCTTTGCATCTTTGAAGAAAATCTCTGTGAACGAAACAGTAATTTACTAAAAATAATATCAGCAGACAAAATTCTGATCTTTTACATGCTTTTATTGCATCTTTTAAATGCTTGTTTTACTCAAATGCCACTGCAATCTTACTGCCCAATTAGTTAATATGTAATATAAGAATACACTACTCCAAGGCTGCATCATTCATTGATGTTAATATTATTTGTTAACCAGCATTAGATAAATGAGCAAACAAAGCAGACCTATAATTAAATAGTAACTGGAACCTACTGGCAACACTAGGAAATCAAAGCACTAAAAATCTTGAGACTTGCAATTAAGCTATAATATTAGTGCCAAATCTATCTACCGTTCAAACTGAAAACATGATTTCAGAGATAAACAGGATCATAACATTTAAATCTTCAATTGAATATCACAACATGTAAACCCTAGCCTCAAAATAAACTGGGAAAAACTCAGTAGGCTTATATCTATAAGCCTAATATCTATATCTATAAGCTAATTCGTACTAGATGCCAATCAAAAACATTTAGTTGATTCTGTTGTGGTGGTAGAGCCCCAGATTGTTTTCCAGCATCAGACATAATGAAAATAAGCAATTTGTACCAGATTGATGAACCTAAGCTTATGGTATTAAAGAATATAAATCTGATTACTTGAAATATATTTCCGCTACTTCGATGATATCTTTTCTGGACGGTCTGCAAATTTTCAACGTTAGGGTGCCAAGTAATGCAGGTAATAGCATGTACTTTAATGTTTCTGTGGGCAGCTCTTCCAACTTTTCATTTTTACTGAACATTCCAGAAAGTGACACTAGATTCGTGGCCTTCTCGAACTTGGATATTGCAGTTTTTATGGTTACCTGTTATTTGTGAGAATATTTAAAGCATTTCTAAATTTACATTTAATAGTTTCCATTCATATTTTTATTTTATTTTTATTGTAGTAATAATTGAAATATGAATACAATATATATCACAAAATTTCATTACAACAATAAATATAATGTAGTCGGTTAAATATAAACATTTCTAACCTACCTGAACACTGTCGCTATTCATAGGTTCTTTGACTGTTTCTACAGTTGTATACAATTTCATTCCTTGATCGAATATATTGCTCAAGGAATCTTCTAATATATCTTGCTCTGTATCAACTTCAGCCATTCCGGTTTATTTTAGTTTTCTTTACCAAATAAAATCGGCACTAAAACAATCAACAATTGTCACAATCTGATACTGACACTGACGTCTGACAACAGTGACACGTGACAGTGGAAAACAGTGAACTATGGTAATTAATTTGCTTTGTTTAATTCGCTAGGCAAAGAAAACATCGCTTTTACAATTAAGTCTAAAGATTGAAATGTTGGACTCAAATCTTTTTAGCAAAAATATATTGAAACAAAGTGAAATTAACCTCTTCGTAAAATGTTGTCAAATGACCAATATTTCATTGGTAATTTGGCATTTTTTTTAAAAAAAAACGAGTACACGTGTCCTGCGACTTAATTCAAATACACAATATTTGGAACTTTCACTTTTTAAGCAGTTAATGAGTCACAACTAGTTAATAATAATATTTAATAATAACTAAATTTAAAATTTTAACCTATAGCAATACTTAACTAAAAAAAACAATTCACATAACTTCAGGGTTCACATATTCAAAAGAAACAGGCGACAAAACTCCCGACCATAGATTATACACTTAATATATTCGCTCCCGACGCTATACATAAATATAGTACCAAGCTAATGATTAATTACTGAATTTTCGACAGCGGCATTTGACAATCATATTAACAAGCTTAAAATATAATATTTTGGGAATAATAATTGAAATATAATGTAAGTGAAACTATCAATGTTTCGCGCTTGGAAATCGCTCGAACTTCGACTGTTATTGGGTATTACTATAATATAATCTCATAATTTAATCTATGACTTTTAACGTACATAGTTTTACAATTTTACAACTTAGTGCTTTATATCGTAACTGTTGGAGTTTGAATATGAATGTAATGGCAGGCAACACTTGACACATGTAAGGTTACAGTTTTCGAATATCGGAATGCTTATTTAAATGTTTAAAACAGATGATTGTCTTCTCTTCAGTCAAAACAATTACTTTTCATCTAGACACGGACAGAGCAACATCTTAGGATTTTATATAAATAAAATATTGTAATGGTGTAATGGTGTAATAGTGTACAAAGTGTTTGTAACGTAATGATTATAAATATATTAACCATGAAGCAGAGTGTTTTTAAATAGCCTCTTACCTACAGAACCCAATTCCCTCAAATTTAACCGTCCTACAGTAACTTATCTAATATAAATAATCAATAATTTATCTACTTTTAATAAAAGATCAGGCGTTGCGTAATTATTGTAAGACGTGCTGCCCACTGTTGCACTTGCGATGTCTTGTTGCACTCGTCTTAGTCTTACGTCTTGCGGTTGCCGTCGAACAATGCAATTACTTGAAGTGATTACGCAGCCTAGATTAAAGCAATGCAATATTATATTACTAAACTAATAACCTATAGGAAATTATTTGTGTTTTTTTTTCGAAAAACATTGATCAACGAAATATCGAAAAAATTTGGAGCAAAAGTTCATAAAATGTAACTTTATGTCAAAATATATTTTTGTAATTATTTTTCGCAGATTGTGGGTCAAGGCTAGCAGTCATCCATGTTGTTAATCAAGTGATCTAATTGATAATAGTGGATAATGGCGACTAACAACACTACATGTGTCATCGTCTAACAACGGCTTCCTCAAACTCATGCAAATAGTTGCACTTTATGCGCCCATAGTTCTAATCTAAAGTACCGGTGCTAATAATACAAAATTAAACGCAGCACGAGTGTAACCACCATCCTCGCTAGCTTTGCTGCGGAGCAATTACATAGTTGGTTGGAATAGCTGCCGTTCCACTAATACAATTTAATCATGAGTCTCAAGGTGGGTGGCATTCATATTCAGTGTTGAGTGTGCTTAGTGCCAGATTTTTAACATTTTCGATAAAGTAAAAGTTAATTATACTTGTATGGAGTTGGAACGTTTGCCTACGTTTGCCGCTAGGGGCGCTGTTCCAACTGCTTACAAATTTGAGTGAACTTTTACGCTATCGAAAACGTAAAAAAACTCGCACTAAGCACACTGATATCTAAGGCCTCTAGTAGACGTTTAACGTCAGTTGACCTGTGAGCTCATGCTCAAAACATTATAAAGTCCTCTTCATTTCAATTAAATTGATGTTTAGCTATTCTATAAATTAATGTATCCAAATTTAAATTACATGTCTCTAGAGTCTAGACGCTTACGACGCAGCTCCCGCCTAAATAGTTTTAACGATTTACGACTATACTTTCCCGAGCGGATCCGTTCTTTGGGTCACGTTGTACGAGCAAGGTGAAGTTTATTGTGGTTTCATATACTAAGTACACGTTCGGCTACAATAGATGTAGCCGTTTAGCTCGTTAAATCATGTGGGACGGGTGGTGAGTATTCAACTGAATGCGCGCAGTAAACAACGGTCACTAGTCCGTACACACTGGTCCACCCAGTAGAGCCGGCAGTCGGACAGAAGGCACACGTATCGAAATCACACAATATGTAAGTATACTCACACAAACTACATAATACCCTAAAGGTCGACGATCAATTTGTTTATTTGTCGTATTTAATATTAGTCTATACTCTTAGCTTTCATTCTGTGATTTAAAAAAAACGTAACCGCGACAAGCGATCATTTGTAATGTCGGTTTTTGAGGTGCTGTTTGTGTTCTTTTTTGCAATTAGGTTTTCTCATTTATTCTGTTTACGTTTTTCTTGTTAAGACGATTTAGCAATTGCTAAACGCAGTGAAATCTAGTTTTTAGAAGCGCAATATAACAATCTCATTTACGTTTAGTAAATGAATATTAAATCAATTGAATGAAATCAATTTTAAAATCAAGATCAATATTTTATCATATATACCTTTTTATATATGTACATATTTTATTCCATATTTTATTATATAATATTTTTTGATTCTATGCATATCGTCTTTACTTTTTAAAAAACAATGTATAGAGTTGCGTTTTTATACAGCCAGTATTACTTAACTAACGAACCTAATTTTAGTAGAAGTAAGACTAACGTCATTGCCAAGCAGGTTAATAAATATGTTTTATGAATTACAGGAATATGCTTTAAGTCCTTTAAACTCTGTGTATTAATGGCCATTAATGGCAATTAATGACCATAAGGCATCGGTTCAGCCCATGCGGTTCAGTAGTCGTCGTGGCCTAAAGGATAAGACGTCCGGTGCATTCGTATGAAGCGATGCACCGGTGTTCGAATCCCGCAGGCGGGTACCAATTTTTCTAATGAAATACGTACTCAACAAATGTTCACGATTGACTTCCACGGTGAAGGAATAACATCGTGTAATAAAAATCAAACCCGCAAAATTATAATTTGCGTAATCACTGGTGGTAGGACCTCTTGGGAGTCCGCACGGGTAGGTACCACCACCCCGCCTATTTCCGCCGTGAAGCAGTAATGCGTTTCGATTCGAAGGGTGGGGTAGCCGTCGTAACTATACTGAGACCTTAGAACTTATATTATCTCGAGGTGGGTGGCGCATTTACGTTGTAGATGTCTATGGGCTCCAGTAACCACTTAATATCAGGTGGGCTGTGAGCTCGTCCATCCATCTAAGCAATAAAAAATAAAAAAAAGCCCAGTTAACTCCTGTAATTCAAGGACATATTACGATTCGCGAGTCTGAGAGTAAAAAAATCTTCATTGTTTAGTGACAAAAATATTGTATTTGTTAAGATTGCTATAAGTTTCAAATTTTAACGTGATGTGAATGAGGATTATAAGCCTCATGTGTATTGACTATGACTACATACATCTAATTAAGTTAATTGACGGTTACTATGTCAAATGAGAATACAAAAACCTACTGATAGATGTAAAATGATCGAATGTAAATAATGAACCATAGATAACAGCTATTAATAATTAATTGGATACTAAGATTATCTACCAATTTTGAACACAGTAATGTACCTCATAGAAATAATCCCAAAAAATTTATACCACCAATATTTTCATCAGGTCCTTGCCAATTAACTTTTGATTGATAATAGTTATCTTGGGTTTTCACATGCTAAGCAACTAGGGTGCATTGAAAGACCACAAAAATCGAAGGTCCCCTACTAATGTTTTCTAACAATTGAATCTTCCAAATATCTACAACTTCGAAGTAGGTTTTTATTTATATACTTTGGAATACTAAATATTTTAAAGTATACATACACACATATAGTACTAATTAATTATTGTAATTTGACAGACAGACAATTTAAGGTCTTCGCGTGTAGAAATTTTACGATTATCAATTGTTTTAAAATTTCGCGGGATCAACACTTTAAAACGGTAAGCTATATGCAGTGATTGGCATTGAAAAACAACCGTCTGTGCAATGCTATTGTTTAATACATCCATCTCGAGATCTTTATATATTACTTAATCTTGTTAATAAAGTTGTTGCGTTCTTACCACATCAAGGTAATTGTGCTTAAAGAAGAAAATAAGGACTTGAAAAGAGAATATTTTCTGGATGTTTTCGATACGATATATAGAAGTAGAAGGCTCAGCTTGTTATGCCCTTTGAAGCAATAAAAAAAAAAGAAATTACTTATCTTACTGAAGTGAATTAAAACTATTCCGCCTAACGTGTCCGAGTATTGTTATAGGTGCACTGAGTTCCGAGATTAGATTTTGAATGTGAAATTGGGCGGTCATTAGTTTTGATTTTTGCTAATTTACAATCACGATTATTCACCATTGGGGATGGGGATAATACGATATTTAAAAAATCCGTTAATTTTAATAATTTATTGGGTCATATTACAAAATGACTACTGGCCACATGATTTTTTCTTGTGTTACCATTTTAAGTATTATTTTAGTGTGCTTAAGCTATCTTCAATTAACCATAGAATGAGTTTTTGTTGACAATATTCCCTTGTTTTGTCATTTATTAACAGGTTATATTATGTTAATATTCTTTATTAAAGCCATCGATTATTCCGACGTAACAGATTTTCATTGATTGATAATAATTTAGTATGTGTAGTAGAAAACAACGAACCATAAATAATTATGTAGATATTAAAATTGTAATTCGTCGCGCACACGACACCCACTCAAAGGAAAATGCAATAACAAACCCCATTCATAACGAACGTAGCGATTGATCTAATCCAACGGCAGCTATCACATGATCGATCGGTCACATCTCCAACGCATGACCTAACTGCATAATTTGTCCTTTCTGGAAAATTCTAGCGGGAAATACTCCGCCGCGATCCGGATGACGCCTATTACGTTCATTGTCCAAGCAGACCCTGGCTTACACAATCATTGTAATACTCTCGAACTATCTTGAATGTAACCCGAACAAAGAAATACGCAAATACTTTTATAGTCGTTTTCTATTATAACCTGTTTGTGTCTGTTGGCCGGTTTCACAGGAATGTAAACTACAAAGAAAGCCCTCCCTTTTTCCCTTCTCGCTCTGTTGAACGTTCTGTTAATGTTTATTAAATTTACATTACGTTTAGTTACACGAAAATAAATATGTTTGGGTGAAAATGAAATTGGTTAAGAATACTTTTATAATTAAATTATGAAATAGTTTCACAGTAGTTTTTATTTTATTTTATTAGTAAAGTTGTATAATATATTATATATGTGAGCTTGACTCTCATGTCACGATTTTTCTGAAGTATTAACTATAAACTATAAAGTCATTAAAATTCACAAATGTATCGATGTAAGTATGTGTATGCATGACGAGGTAACGACCTACTTGATTTGAAAGGGACTCCATTGACAGCCCAACGATAATGCTCGCATTGAGCCATTACAACTATCCCGCTATCCCGTTGTTTAGGCAGGAACGCGTCATAGCTTTACTGACGAGACACGACGGTATCGCGGTGGTAAGAAGCCGTGTAAGATTCACAACATGCCCTACTGCTACCACTTTAAAATCCCAAGTTATTAGGAGATAGGAATGTGAAATATGATAATAAACATTTTCTAAGTGAAAACTTTTTGATGAATAAAAAGTGACCCAAAAAAAAAAGACATTAACGTGTACTATTTTTTTTATTGCTCTTGTAGGCAGACTACTATACGACCCACGAATAGTGGATAACGCCAGGCTAGTACTCAAAATACATTTCGTCAGAACAGTCTGATGGTAAGTCGTCATGTCGTGGATAAGGCGTCCAGTGTACTCGTGAAGTGTTAAAATCATGCGAGTAGTTAAATAATTCAATTGAGACTCCGACCTCATGTCTTAAGGTGTCTCAAGATTGAAGAGCCCTCACGTTGTGATATCTACGGTAACCACTTAGCACCGGATGAATCGCGAGTCCCTTCGTCCTTCAGGGTAAAAAAAATTAAATCTTAACATCATCCATTTTCTCATGAATTTCTCTCATTGTTCTCTTTCAGTTTTAAAATGACAACCTCACGCTATTAACGAACACACAATGGCTCTCAAAACAAGCTTAGTGTTCTGTCTCATCGCGACGGGTCTTAGCTATGCTTTCAACGGGGACAGCTTCGAGCTGGAGTGCCCGGACGAGTGCGACTGCCACTACTTCAGAATCAACTGGGTCACGGACTGTTCAGAGAGTAACCTCACCGAAGTGCCATATGATGAGCTCAGCCTCAGCGTGTATATTCTAGATTTGAACGGCAACAACATTACAACCCTCAAGCCCTTCCCGAACGATATCAAGATGAGGAGATTGCAAATAGCTGATAATCGACTGACCAGAGTCGAACGTGAAGCGTTCAAGGGCCTGGAATACTTGATTGATATTGATTTATCTGGAAACAACATCAGCTATGTGGACCCCGAGGCGTTCTTGTGAGTAATCTATTTTTGTAATTCATTAGGCTCGAGACATAACCTGTTTTTCAAGGGAATGGTCTATAAAATGACCCAACTATGATATTAGTATTTTAAATTCTTAAGGAAAATTCATAAGATTGCTTATCAGAAGAACTTATCAGAAGCAAGAAATATAATATTTTTAAACGACTTGTAGGGTATAATCTCGCGTTATTGTTGTTGTTAATTATTATTACATTAACTAATCGTTAGCATAATGTTCCTAATGTCGACAAATGACACCTTAGTCTTCTGTGACCACGAAAACTGTAGTCTTCTAAACGTCGGAGATAATATAATAAACTGTTACACATTTGCTTTAATTCTCTACTACTCAACAATATTTTTTTAACTTTACATTGAGAAATACAAATAATAAGAAACTTTATTGATTCTCTGAAAATCTGTAAATGCGCGTCATTGATATTATTAGATAAACGTTATTAATTCTACTCGATCCAATCGTTCTATAGAGTCAGATTAACTTCAGTATATTACGCTTCAAGGATATTCACATAGGTATATTCTTTGTGTTACCACAAGCTGATGACAAAATCGTCCGAATTATAGCTCGTTTACTTATTGGAACGGCGGACGGTATGAAAATTGTCGAGAGGTACCGTGCTGCCAATATTAGATAATGGACACACAGAACGAATGCAAATTGGATTCGCTTATCCATACAGGATGGGTTATCCATACTATAGGATTATCCATACAGTTGGTACTTGGTTAATTTATCACATAGTTGACAATTTAGCGACGAATTATTTGGATTGGGTGGTATGAATTACTTTTTGGTTCATTTTCAATCTCTTTAACTCTTAAAAATTTGTAGATTTTTAGGATTCAGGGCACTAGATATTAATTAAATCCGTATGGGCTGATACCTATAGGTTAACGTTTATTTCTAATGTGAGTTAATTGTGAGTTTATTTCCTTGAGGTTAGAATTAGAAAAAAAAATTGAAAAAAAACTGGCCTCCGAACCCGCACATTCGTTGTAACAGTATCGTCTACCGCAACGGTAGAATGCGTACTATAAGCCCGCACGGGTTGGAACCAATTCTGCCGCAAAATAGTTACGGTCTAAAATGTAGGTCAGTCATCATACTAAGCAATCGCGAATTAAGCTATGTCTCAAGGTGGGTAGCGGCATTCAAGTGATATCTATGGGCTCCAATAATCTCTTAACAGCTGGTAGCCGTGACTATATTCCCTATACTCACAACATACAGTTACGAATTCTTTTAAATTTTCGCGGCTATCTGCATTACACTATTTTTTGCATTCAGTAGGCTAGACTGATGTAACCGTGATCATAGCCCTTGCAACCAATGAATACCTAAATGTGAATATCGCGGTCACAGCCCTTTGGATAATAACGTGTATAACGTCATATCATATTTCTTAATTGATACGTATTTACGTGTATCATCTATGTTTTGAATTTCATCTGGTTTTTTTTTTTCAATTTCGCAGGGATTCCCGCGGTTTGCTAAACGTGGAGCTTCAAGACAATCCAATAGGCAACGTCGAAGGCCCCTTCCTCGTCTCTCCAACGTTGCAGTATCTCGATTTAAGTAACTGCAATATAACCTCAATCAATTCGCAATTCTTTGACAATATCACAACCCTTATGACAGTAGACCTCTCCAATAATCCTCTCAAAAACTTAGCAACCGGCGTTTTTGATATATTAACAAGCATAGAAACTTTGAAACTCAACGACTGCAAGCTCTCGAACATTTCAGAAGTTTTATTCGCTAATGCTGCACACCTGAAGAATTTGGAATTGGCCGGAAACTATCTAAAGCACACAGATTGGTCTGAAGTACTCGGAAAATTGGTCAGACTAGAATATCTGAATTTGAGGAAAACTGGTATAACATACCTTTCAGAAGACACATTTTCGAATTGTACGTATTTGGTGACGTTAGTACTTGCAGATAATGAGCTGCATGATTTAGACGTCGCTGCTACGTTGGGCAGTAGCGTGAATCATTTAGAATTGCTCGATTTATCCAATTGCCGCATCCAGGGCCCTCTGTCCGGCGAAGCGTTCGCTAATGCGACCAGATTGAAAAGTCTTTATCTTTNATACCTTTCGGAAGACACATTTTCGAATTGTACGTATTTGGTGACGTTAGTACTTGCAGATAATGAGCTGCATGATTTAGACGTCGCTGCTACGTTGGGCAGTAGCGTGAATCATTTAGAATTGCTCGATTTATCCAATTGCCGCATCCAGGGCCCTCTGTCCGGCGAAGCGTTCGCTAATGCGACCAGATTGAAAAGTCTTTATCTTTCTGGTAATCCACTATTTGCGGCAGACTTACAAGAAGCACTCGCTCCGCTACCGAAATTGGAAAGGTTGTTCTTAAGCAATTGTGGCCTACGCAATCTTCCAGATAACTTTAATGTTTTCGACAATCTTTTAGAACTAGACATATCTCATAATCCTCTGAATAATGTTTTCACGAGACTTTTAGCTCCATTAGAAAAACTAGAATACTTGAATATGGGTCACAGTAATTTATCGTATATTGGGCCAGATTCGTTCGCCAAGATGACCTCGATGAAAAGACTAGTTCTCTCTGGAAACGACTTGCTGTCCCTAGAAGCCGGCCTCTTCGGTAATCTGACGCAACTAACTACGTTAGAATTAGAAATGTGTGGCTTAAAACGGCCCTTAAATGCTAACGTATTCTTTAAAAACCTAACTTATATGGACTTGAGAGAAATAAAACTAGGAAGTAATCCTTTGGTTATTCCCGATAAAGGACCCGTGTTCCCGAAACAGCTCTCGCAAGTAACAACGCTCGATTTAAGTAATTGTAATATAACATCACTCAATGTTGATGCTTTCAAAAACACAATAAACTTAACTGAACTGAATCTGTCAGGCAATAGATTAAGATCTAACGATGGAAATTTGGCATTTTTGGAAATCTTAAAGCATCTCGAGAAAATAAATCTAAGCTATAATAATTTAACGACAATCGATCCGCAAATTTTCACGCACAATCCGAAATTACATTCTTTGAACCTACTAGGGAATCCATTTATTTGCGATTGCAAGATCGCTGAGATGTGGGACTGGGCTAATATGATAAAGGGTGACTTAGACGTACTCGTTGGGGCCAAGAGTGCTGAAAAAGATATCGTTGTAAAAGGAAATAAGAAGAAAAAATATCTATACTGTCATTATAATGAAACTCAACTTCGAAATGCGAGTTTAATGTTAAACAAGACAGTACCAGGCAGAAGACCGTTCATAAAACCAAGAGAACTTATTTACGCTAACAGGACTTGGGCAAAATATGTGCGGGAATCTGGATGTGAGCCCGTCGTGAAAATATTGAGGCCCATAGCTTTGGTAGCAGAGATATTTGATTTCAAGAACGGACCTAAAATACCTACCGGAGTTGTAATAGTGGCATTAATAGCGATTATCCTTGGTTTAGCCACGCTTATTATGACGATAAGGTTGTTCAGGAGAAAGAACACCACGGAAATAGACTCTGAAACTAGCAGAAAATCAAGATAGCAAATGAAAGTTAATTAAGAAATGGTAGCAGTGCTATTTAGCACATATATGTATTAAGTGATAATTTTTTATTCCGTTCACGTCCAATATTGTTAGATATTATTTTGTATTTTCAGAACGTATAGATTCTACGATCTTCGATTTCAAGATCAATGTGTACGTCGAAGTAAATAGAAATATGTCGAATATAAATCTTCACGATTCCGCTATTCAAACTAGTCATTTATTGTAACTCAAACGGAAAATCTTTCATCGTCCTAAAATATTTATAACTCTTAGATTTAGCTTTCACTATACGGTTACAAATAAACGCTGCAGCCTTACTTGTATTCATTTCTTCGATTTTCACTACATTGTAAACCACCGCTAGAATGAAGGAAAGAAGCTATAAGCTTTATTTGTGTTCATTTTGGGAGAAGTAGCCGTATTAACTGTGTAGACCAGTGATTCTCAACCTTTTTTTGTTGCGGCACATATTTAACGATTTCAAAATTTGGCGGCACACAAAAAAAAAGATAAAAATTATTTACTTACTACAACACACTGCATAAATAGTTTATCAAAAAAATTTAATATACGAAATAAACTAAAATATACTATATTTTTTTTTGTATGTGGATTTAAATATATATTCATCTTTAAAATATTTTTCTTTTAAAATGATATAATTTAATAATATTAACATTATTATATATTCCCAAAATTTGGCGGCACACTTTTGAAATTTGGCGGCACACAAAAGTGCCACGGAACAGTGGTTGAGAATCATTGGTGTAGACACTAGTCTGGAATAGCACTACCTTATCCCTTCCCGTCATATAAGATGACTTCAGAGTATCAGACTTCAGAGGCCTTAGCATTCTCTAAGTAAAATAATACTAGGACACTGCGATCACCAACCGTTTTAAGCCATTAGTTGCCCAAAGTATTTTGTTCGGTTTTTCCGAGTCCTAAACATAATTAAAGCTGCTTTTACGATCACGCACGATCGACGGTCCGCGACAACGAAAACTGTAAAGTATTCGTGACCTCGGAAATATTTAAATGACATTTTAAAAAAAGTCAAGAATCAGTAAAAGTACTTTTAATTACATTGGTTGCCTGTTTTTGCGTAAAGCTATACGTTCCGACTTGATGGACGGGTCAGCTAGCCTCCAATACAATTGAAATCAGGCGATCTCGTCTGCTCATTTGCGGCTATAAACAATATATCAATTTCTAATCGGCATTAATTTAGGAATACAACACGGTCACCACAGACCTGTTAAAACGTGTTTGAAAGTAGGTACATAAAGAATCAGCAGCTGGATGGTGTTAGCGAATGGATTCGATGCTAAGCTGCGCCATTGCGATTTATGAGGAACAAGAAGTGAACAGCAATAGCGAGCTAGTAGAATAATATGGACTCGACCTTCCAAATCATTATTTAGATTTTCAGGATGTGAAAGATTACTTGGACTCTGGTAACTACTCAAAAAAAAGTAGGCTGTTTCTTGTTCGTGCCTCGACGACAATTACCTAATTCTTATATAGTTTTTTTTTTTTTTTTTAGATCAACGATTGGTTATTATTAGGCTATTTGTGAATTTATCAAACTATTTCAATCAAATTATTACAAAGGTTTTTTTAACGCTTATTAAACTGTTGGCAACTTGTCTCGGCGTTCATAATTGAGTTTTGCCCAATAGACGATTCGAATTTTTACTCTTTGAGTTCCAAGTGGCCTTGGTATAATCATAATTTTCCGTACCTAATAATTAAAGTAAATTCTTTGGAATCTGTGGGCTCTGATTGCCGCTAGTGGATCTTAAGCGCAACTGGCCATTTACGCCAATAAATAAAATAAAATGTTATCAAAAAATCTTAAATGTTTTTTTTTTCTTATTCGATATGATTGATATCCATTACTTTAACAAAAGATAGTTAAGTCACCCTAACCTAATTCATGAAATAAGTAAGTAAGCAATATAAAAAAATTGAGTTTCTGAACGCAATTAGGTATCTTTGTAATTGTCATTAAAAGTCAGTTGAATGTAAATCAATGAAGGTTGCGATTTTCACAGAGAATATCACCTAAGTAGTTGATAAAATATTTCGAAAACGATCTGTTTCCTCAGACGGTTGCTGTAAGTAGAAACGGCTTTTTTTTAATCCGGCCAGAAGGCATGAAGAATTGTGATCGAAGACTTTTTGCTTATTCCACGGTTAGTGAGCTCGTCGGTTAGAGCCACTTTTCTTTGCTTGTTTGTTGAAGAACGAACCCAAATTAGGACAAGTCTTGTATTTGCGGTCACGTAATACGCCAACGGCGAAAGTATTATTACACAAGTTATTTTATACAATGCTATTTAGTTTTATCTTCTAAAACCTGCAATGAAAGGAATAGTAGCTTCTGGGGTAAACTTTTATAAAAACAAAACAAAAGTACAAATGTTATTCTACTATAATAATCTAATTAAATTACTGTAAACCTCTTAAATAATAAATTAAAATAATTTATTTTTTATCAACTAGTCGGTTCTCCTCCTAACGTGCTCGTTTTCTTTATGTAAAAATTTTCTTTATATATTTTTTTTCGCATTCCCGGTTTCTCGCTCTCTGGCCGATTATTACTGGCCATAGCTGCGAGTTCACTGTCCAATAGTCTCGGAATTGCAATGGGCTCGAAACCGTATTGAAATTGAGGCTCAACAAACAAGGTTTTGCTCTTGTAGTTCTGATATGGTTGTGATGCATACGCGCTGTTATCACGAGGCGCCGCCTTGGAATAGTCGTATTCATAAACAAGGGGTTTCGCTTGATACTTTGCGAAGGTTTGTTTGGGTTTCTGATCCTCAACCGTTCCGAATACATACGGAACTACTGTGTACTTTGAACTTTGCTTCTCCTGGTTTTTATCGGTATCGTAAACGGTGTACCTTTCCGGTTTTTGATTCTTATATAATTTGTAGTAATCTACCTTGTTTCTGTAGCGATCAGTCAAACTTTGCGGTCGGCTGATAGAATAATCTAAGTAATAGTCTTCCTTAGTTTTGTCTCTAGCGTCTTTATAGTTAACGCGAGTGGTTTTTGGAAATTCGTCTCCGTGATCCTGATATTGCTGAAACGGTACATGCTCAATTTCGAAATTACTATGATCACGAGGTATTCCGTAAATTTCTGGATTATAAATATCCTTCTCTACATCGTCTGAATGTCTTTCGTAAGCAGGAAAACCAAACGCGGCATCTTTGTAGGCTTTCTCGAAATCTTCTTCGTTGTTTTCTTCGTGATCGATCATTTCAGCTTTCATCTGCTCGTGAATAGAATGCATTTCTTCAGGAGTTTCTTCTTGTATTATAACCTTCCGGGTTTTTTCATGTATATGCTGCGGGACATTATGCGGTCTTTCGTGAATTATAGGATGATCAAAATTTTGTGGTGGTGACTGGTTTTGTGGCTGAGGTGGTTGTTGCTGTACGTGCTGTCCCGGATCGACTTTAATATGACCTAATTTATTGGGCGGGATCAACTGAATGTTTTCCTCGTAATGTGTCACAGGATGAAACTGTTCTGCATTTTGTACTGTAGCGTGTGGCCGTGAGTGATATTGGGGTTGTTTATTATGTTGCTCTTTCTTATATTGTTCACTGGGAGGTTCATGATATTCTTCTCTATGCTCAGGATGCAAATGTTTGCTGTTTTGTTGCACTGCTTCATCATCTTCATGTTGCTCTTCAGAACTCTCTTTTTCAGAACCATCGAAATGGGATTCTCCACTTGAATTTTCGGCGTGTTGAGAAGGTGCTTCTTGAGATTTTTCCTTTTCTTCCCCATTCTGTTCTTTATTTTGTTCTTCGGAATTAAACTTATATATCAACTGCTTTGGCTCTCCGTTACTGCTGTGATAGTATACTTTTTGAATCTTCGCGGGTTCATTCGAGCTGTGACTGTAGCTGTAATGAACTGGTTTCTTTGCAGTATTTGAACCATAAGTGTAATGCACTGGTTCAGAATTTGTCTCCTTATTGTAACTAACAGCCTTTTCTTTGTATGTCTCCTTATAATTTGGAGAATTAATTTCATAAGAAATTTCCGGACTTGCATTAGAAGTATCTTTAACTGTTACAGTGGGTGTATGAGGCACATCTCTTTGTATGTCAGCATCGTCTTCTGGCTGAGGGCGCTTTACTTTATTTTTTGGAGATGATTTCTGAGGTTTTCCTTTAATAAGTCCACTGTCATAAGATTTAGTCTTCTGAATCATAAATTCTTTTTGGTACTTTTTGTTTTCTGTAATTTCTGGTTTAGGTAGTTTAACATATGTGGCTTGGTTGATCCTCGGTAAGAAATGTTGCACTTGAGGAACGAGTGGATTAGCAAACGTGAGTGGTTCTAGCAGGCTTAAGTCTAATAAAGGTAGCACGGGCTTTGTGTCCAAATTTATCACCGTCTTTTGTCCGTTAACAACAGTCGTAATTGCAGTTTCTTTGGCGGGCACGTCCTGCAACTTTGCCTTATCATTTTGGGCATTATCTTGTGCAGAATTTAGCTCGCTTCTGATTACTTCAGCATCTTTTAGTCCCTGTTGCAGGCGCTGGTACTTTGGACCGTTTCTTACATTATAGTTATCTTGAGATTGCGTGTTAGCATAAACTGCTTTATGACTTGTTGATTGTTGCTGAGCTGTTGGATGACTTTGGGATTGTGTGGTTGCTGGTGCATTGGGTGCTAGAGTTTTGATGTTTTCCCCAAAAGCATATGGTTGTGAGGAGCCGAATCTATGCGCTACCTGTTGCAACGGCAGAGTATAGTGTGAATTCACAATAAACGGCGTTGGTTGTCTGTACTGGTAGTTGGGTGCTGCAGCGACAATTGGTTGGGACAGATGAGCCGGAAGTTCTTGAAGTTGCACAAACTGCTGTGGATAAGTCGTCTTATATGCCAATGACTGTGGCGATCCAATAAATCTGTTTCCATACGAATCCTTCAGATAAGCGTTTTGGTAAGCCTCCTTCACTGGTACTAGACGCGAAGCTGCCGGTCTGGGAGCGGATACAAACTTGACCGGAATGGAGTACGATCCGTAAGGTGTTGCGCCTGCGTACACGCCGACGGGAACGTTGCGATAAAGTCGCGGAGCACTTTCTGCACTTTCATTGTCTTTAGCTACACTCTTTGCGGAAGTCGAATCACAGAGCGCTTCCACAAACGCTAACAGGCACCAGACCGCGAAAAATGCCTGTAAAAGAAAATAAAACTTGATAAAAAAAAATACAGTTACATATTTGTTCTCTGNAGGTGTTGCGCCTGCGTACACGCCGACGGGAACGTTGCGATAAAGTCGCGGAGCACTTTCTGCACTTTCATTGTCTTTAGCTACACTCTTTGCGGAAGTCGAATCACAGAGCGCTTCCACAAACGCTAACAGGCACCAGACCGCGAAAAATGCCTGTAAAAGAAAATAAAACTTGATAAAAAAAAATACAGTTACATATTTGTTCTCTGCGTGATGATTATGGTCTTCGAATTTTCATAATATATTTTTTAGTATTTTATTACCTGTCGCCCCATGTCGGTCACGTTGTGTCTGAGAGGGAGGGAGCGGCAATGCGCAGGCGCGCGCCCTTCTCGCGCTTTTATGCTAACGTACACGATCGCAACCACCGACTGCAATTCGTTTTTCTTACAGATTCTTCTCGACACCGAGTTATATCATTCGTACAGTACTACTAATACTACAAACAGGTTATTCGATTAACTATAAAATGAAAATAAAGATAGCTTCCTGTATTAACAATAGAGAATTGTTCGACACAAGTCAGTGGTCGCCAACACTTATGTAAGCAGCGAATGGGTGATAGATTGCTTCATCGTAATTGATCGTTGAAACGTATTCCCATAAATGTTGTTTAATTTAATTTCATTGCGCCTACCACTATTTACTATGCACTACCTTTGGTTAACTGGTAGCTTGAGACTGGTAGAGATTGCCTTAGGCAATTAAGTCCGCCAATGTAAATTTTACATAAAGTGTAATAAATAAATAAAATAAATAATACAGTTTAAAAAAGAACTTTTTGTTATGGTTAGTGAAAAGATGCGAGCGCTTCTCGATTGTTGAAAGCAAAAACATAACGAGTCGAATCGATGGTGCTATGGATTGCAGAGTTAAGGGTGAAGTTACAACAGAAACGTCACGGCCTTTAAGTTTATTTGAGAAATACAACAGATGCAACAGATCAAAAAGACTAAGGACTTGACTGAAAATAATTAAAGAAGCAACTTAATATTTCAATAAACGTTAAGTTAGCTGATTTTGCTTGCGAATTGTGCCAGCAGCCGTTTCAAATCTCCATCGTTTTATTGCAATGGCTATTTGACAAATATAGAGAATCAATCGGTATTTTTAACAGGCGCCCTCACAGAGCTCTCTGACACTCGGGACACATGAGCAAAACGAGCCTGGCTGGACCCTGTAGATTCCACACGAAAGAAGTGAATGCAGGTTAACTTCAATCTCATTCACAGTTACTGATTGTGGCAACAGCTTAACGTGCGGTGAACTGCGACTCGACCCGTCTCTAGAAATTAAACAATACCTATTGCTGTGACGCGAGTGTGTTGGCAAGAATATAGATAGGGCGTTCGTGCAAGACTCATATCGCTCCGTAGACCTTACCGATGCCAACATCAGTTGTGCTTGTGTGCTCGAGTTAAAAATAATAATTAAATCAAATGGATTTAAGTAGTAAGTGCGATAATGATCTCGAGAGGAAGAGCTACGATCAGGCACGTTTCATTACGCAATAAACGATTGATTACTTTCGTGATTAACGCTAGTTCCGTTAGTTTTTACGCGCATTCCAACATGTAAAACGGAAAATTCGCTTTACATATTAAATTGTTTTAAACTAATAGGTACATTTTTATCTTTATAACTTTGCTTGTATTTTTAATGCACTTAGGCTTATGACATTTTTCACTGGTAGTAAAAATCTCATAAGCTCTTGGGAGTCCGCACGGGTAGGTACCACCACCCCGCCTATTTCCGCCGTGAAGCAGTAATACGTTTCGGTTCGAAGGGTGGGGTAGCCGTTGTAACTATACTGAGATCTTAGAACTTATATCTCGAGGTGGGTGGCGCATTTACGTTGTAGATGTCTATGGGCTCCAGTAATCACTTAACACCAGGTGGGCTGTGAGCTCGTCCATCCATCTAAGCAATAAATAAAAAAAAAAAAAAATGCAGTGCCGGGGGCGCGGCCTAAAATGAGCCTTCTTTGAACAGCCTTTTATATGAATGTAGGTATTTATCCTGAAAGAACAGACGTGTTGACGAGGCTATTCAGCATAATCTAGCGCTCTGACACGGCTATCTACTACTCGTGTAGGAAGAAGTCGCTATTGCATCGGCGACTCCAGATCGCAGTAACCACCTTGGGACAGTGGTTCCGGAAGTGGCGCATTAAAATTAACGCCACGAAAAGCAGCGGTGCTATTCAAAAGGGGTCGCCCCCGAATACCACTTCGAGCAGCCCTCTCCTCAATAGGCGCGTTAACACCTCCGCCGTTAGCCTCATCACTCTCTTTGGCCAGCCCATACCGTGACCCCGAAGGTCAAATATCTAGGCGTCACCCTCGACAGAGTGATGACATTCCGACCCCTCATCAAAACGGTACGCGACCGTGCCGCCTCCATATTAGGACGCCTCTATCCCATGATTTGCAAGCGAAGTATATTGTCCCTTCGAAATAAAGTTACACTCTACAAAACTTGCATACGCCCCGTTGTGACCTATGCAAGCGTAGTGTTCGCTTATGCGGCCCGGAGCCAACTTGAAACCCCTTCAAGTTATTTAATCCTAACCTAGCTGATGTCCATGAACATCTGCCTAAGCACGGCGATATGTTCGTACATCGTTTGCACATAAAATCCTCTTGGCCTAAAAGATAAGCCAACAAGCGAGAACAATTTTTACTGGTGGTAGGACCTCTTGTGAGTCTGCACGGGTAGGTACCACCACCCTGCCTATTTCTGCCGTGAAGCAATAATACGTTTCGGTTTGAAGGGTGGGACAGCCTTTGTAACTATACTTGAGACCTTAGAACTTATATCTCAAGGTGGGTGGTGCATTTACGTTGTAGATGTCTGTGGGCTCCAGTAACCGCTTAACACCAAGTGGGCTGTGAGCTCGTCCACCCACCGCAGAAATAAATAAATAAATCGTCCGAATTATGTACCTAATTATGTATGTATTTGTAATAAATATATATTTTATACAATTAATCAAATAATACAGTTTTAATTTTTGAAAAAAATATTGTACTGGTTTTTAACACTTTATTCATAAAACAATACATCGTTATGTAAAACTTAGTCTATTCTAATTATTATTAATTTTCATATTTAGAATTATTACAACCCACGTTACTATTGTATTTTTAGGATTTTTTTAAAGCATATATATTTTTTAACTGTTATTGTAAACATTACTACAAAGGCGCTTATAAGTGAAGGTTGAAAGTACAATTTATGTGCTTAACAGATTCCTATTCCTATTTTGGCTATTCCGTTTTGATTCCCTTTGTTATTTTTTTACATAAGACTATCGTTTCTAAGTGACAAATTAAATAATCTATCTCTATATTACGTTTACATGTAAATTGTATTTTTCCTAAATTTTACAGAAAAAGGCACCATAAATTGCAATTAATGACATTAGTCCTATTAAATACGAACCGGAAAACTGTTACAATACTTGTTAGTTCAATAGTCATACGTTACGAGCTCCCGACCCTCACTATATAAGCGGGGCGCAAAAACCACGACAAGTACAAAGCCAAAAGTGTTTTACGAGACTTTCTTCTTCTTCTCAATCGTGTCACTCTTGACAGAGTGGTCGTGATCGTCATGTAGTGTTGGTGGAGGCAGACTTGATGCGTCTCATGATGTCCCGCCATCTCTCTGGGTTCGAAGCCATTCAACTGCACTCATTTAGGGGTCCGAAGCTCTTACGAGGTCCCCACGCTCAGGGGACGCGCAGGCTGAGACTGGTCCGCGACTGCGAGACCGCGGGCTCAAGGATATTTTCATGACTAACCGTTTTTTTTTTACTTAAACGATCCCCTTATTCCCGCCCTGTACACTAATATGGCGTGAACTGTAAATTATCGACTGTCGAGCGAGTGAGCGCAATGAATGTCTTCAGTTGGCCACTTATCCATGAATAAAAAAGTCGATGAGTGTATTTTCCCTGTAGACTCCGAAACGGCTAGAAAGATTTCGATTCAATATTCAATAAGCCCTCAGATTGACCTAACGGGCGTGAAAGAGTTTCGTAGCCAACCGATCGAAGTAAAATCACGGCAAAGTGCACCGGGCTTGACTAGTAGGTACACCTACATAATTACTACATAATTAAAGGATTAACACGAAAAAATTCAATCTTTTTTTTTATTTTTTTTATTGCCTTTGTAGGCAGACGAGCATACGGCCCACCTGATGGTAAGTGGTCACCGTCGCTCATGGACGTCAGCAATGCCAGGGGCAGAGCCAAGCCGCTGCCTACCATAAAGAACTCTCCGCAAGCCTCGTTTGAAGAAGGACATGTCATAGCGCTTGGAAAACACCGTGGAGGGGAGTTCATTCCAAAGCCGGATGGTACGTGGCAAAAAAGATCTTTGGAAACGCACTGTCGATGAACGCAGCGGTTCCAGATAATATGGATGAACTCTGCTCCGATGGCGGGAGGTGCGATGATAAAAAGGAGATGAGGGAATCATCTCGAATAATTCCTCAGAGCATTCCCCATGGACCATGCGGTATAAAACACAGAGAGAACCGAAGTCCCTCCGTAGACCCAGAGGTTCCAAGCGATCCGCGAGAGCAGGACTATCGACCATCCGAACAGCCCGTTTCTGTATGGAGTCAAATGGAAGTAGCTGGTATTTGGGAGCCCCGGCCCAGAGGTGAGAGCAGTACTCCACGCGAGGTCGGACCTGCGCTTTATAAAGCGCAAGTCTCTGTCCAGGCGTGAAATACCGCTTCGCTCTGTTGAGAACTCCCAACATTTTAGAGGCCAATTTGGCTTTACCTTCCAAATGACTCCGAAACTGGACATCGCTCGAAATATCGACCCCCAGAATCCCGATACTCGCGGAAAGCTGCAGGGATACTCCTTGAAATTCCGG